GTCTCAGGACTTTTGCATATTGGTGTGGATTAGCTCTGGTGAACATTTCTCTGCATTGTGTTCTGTTTGCTCTTATGCTTTAGCAATGGTTTCCTCTGTTAGCCATTGTGGGACCTCCTGGAAATACCACCTTATTTTATTTTTATTTTTTTATTTTGTAAGTACAGTGGTACCTCGGGTTAATTACTTAATTCGTTCTGGAGGTCCGTTCTTAACCTGAAACTGTTCTTAACCTGAAGCACCACTTTAGCTAATGGGGCCTCCTGCTGCTGCCACGCCGCCAGAGCACGATTTCTGTTCTCATCCTGAAGCAAAGTTCTTAACCTGAAGCACTATTTCTGGGTTAGCAGAGTCTGTAACCTGAAGCGTATGTAACCTGAAGCGTAATGTAACCTGAGGTACCACTGTATGATTATTTTCCTGCCGTAAAGGAGTGGATTCCTGGATTGGTTAGCCCTCCCACTCATTCCACTAGGCACTGTAGCATTACAGCATTCTTAATATTCTCTCTTTCAAATTGTATCTTGCTAAAAATTCTTTTTAATAGAAACGCATTTTGGCACAAATTGAAAGATTGACTGATTAATAAGTAAAAAAGACTTGATGGTAAGATGGTGCCCACCACAAAAGCTATACAGTGGTACCTCTGGATGCGAATGGGATCCGTTCCGGAGCCCCATTCGCATCCAGAGCAGAACGTGACCCGCATCTGCGTGGGTTGTGATTCACTGCTTCTGTGCATGTGCGTGACGTAATTTTGAGTGTTTGTGCATGCGTGAGCGGCAAAACCCGGAAGTAACGCATTCCGTTACTTCTGGGTCGCCGAGGAGTGTAACCTGAAAACGCTCAACCTGAAGCGACTTTAACCCGAGGTATGACTGTAGTGAGAGATCTGAGGCCCTAAAAATGTTGCTGGACTACAAATCCCATCATCCCTGACCACCGGCTTGGCTGAAGGGAACTAGAGTCCAACAAGGTCTGGAGGGCTTCTTTCATCGTCTCAGTGCTGACCGTGGTATGTGAACAAAATTCTGCCAATAAGTGAATAACAAGATGTTTATTGTGTGTTTTTCTGACCTATACTGCCTGGACCTCCAACAGCTGGATGTTCCCTACAAGACTTTTAAAAGAAGTGGGTTTTTTTGGAACTTATCCTGTCCCAGAGCAACACTGTGTTGCTGGCTGGCTATTCTTTCCTTCCTCCACCCTTTTGAGGTAATCCTTCAAAATTGCTTAGTGTTTTCAACTCTTTTTGAAAGAAAGCTTCCATCCGCTGCTCTTCTGCCCAGTTTAAGGTTTCTAATGTCTTTTCCATGCAGTCCCCCCCCCACCTTAAACTGCAAACATTTCTTGGCAGGTTGCCTCTGTGGTCAAGTCTAGATTAATGTTGGTTGTGGAGATTTGCCTTGACAATGTTTACACACGTTCACTATAAGCAAACTTACACACCAATGAAATATTTCAATAGATATTGCGCAGCAGACATTATCAAACAGTAAAAGAAAACCAATAGACTTTTAATGATGAAATCCATCTTACACACAAGAAGTTTCCTGTTTACTCCAGTGGATGGGAGACACATTTAATCACCCCGTTCCCCCCTCCCACGCCGCTGCTGCGGTCAGCTGCATTTCCTGGGGGGGGGGGACCCCAATGTGGAAAATGCAATCGGACTACATTGCAGGGTTGTCAAAAGGTCCTTCCCACCCACCTCCAGCTCCCCTCATCCATCCAACCACATTAAAGTGCCCATTTTTTCACTGCCCAACAAGATTTGTATCACCACACAGGTATATCTTAGAGTCTTAGTCCCTCCCTGTAACAAATTCTTTCAGATGTTATGATAAAATGGGAACAAGATATAGGCCACACAATTGAATTGGATAACTGGAAAGAACTTTGGACAAAGAATATAAAATTTACGGCTTGTTACTTAATGAGAGAAAATCTCATGAAAACACAATACAGGGTGGTATTGGACCCCTGTAAAGCTGGCAAAAATTAATAAAACTTAAACTAAGAAATGTTGGAGGTGCAAAAATCAAGTAGGAACCTTTTACCGTATGTGGTGGGCGTGCCCAGAGATTAGAAAGTTCTGGGACACGACCTATGAGGAGATGAAAAAGTTATTAAAAATTACATTCAACAAAAAACCGGAATAATTTCTTTTGGGAATTTTGACAAACAATATCCCTAAAAAGAAAACAAGACTATTTCTTTATGTAGCGTGTAGTGGCTAAGTATTGGAAGGAAGATCATATACCCACCAAAGAAGAATGGTTGTGTAAACTGTGTGAGTACTTGGAACTCGCGAAGCTGACAGATATAAGATATAAGTATAACAAGATAGTTAAAAAAGAATGGGATTACCTAAATAACTACTTGATGAACCAAGGTTCATCAGCTAAGATCTGGCTGTGTTTAGAATAACGCCGCAAAGGAAAAAACTCCCTGATACCAAGATGAGGGATTTACTGAAATACAGACAGGTAGACTTTAATTAGAAATAATGAACTGTTATGAAGTTGGCAGAAGTTGACAAATTCTATGTGTCAGGGGCTCAGGAGCAGAGGCACAGGGGAGAGAGGAAATGGAGAGCGAAGGGGAAGAATCTGAGGGCAGCGTAGGGGAGTATGAAAGTGGCCCGAGAGATTCCATGAGTCTCTCCAGCGAATCAGAAGATTCCCAGAAGGGGGCGCCGATGGCCAGGGCAAGGGGGGTCCCAGGGGGGACACACCAGAAGCAAGGGGCCAGCGGGGACTCCCAAAGCAGCAGCGGGAGATCAGGACCAGCTCCTCCACCAGAGCGTAGTGAGGGGGAAGAGTCACATGTATCAGGGCCAGCTTCTCCTCCAGCAGGGAGAGAAGATGAGTCAGGGTTGGCCACGCCTCCATCGCAGAGTGAGGGAACGGAGGGGGAGTCAGGTGCAGCTAGCCTCCCCGAAGGGGAAAGCAGTGACAGGAGCAGTGTAACGGTCAGGAGGAAGGTGGCCGGCTGGGCGCGCGCGCCAAGTTCGAATGTGCAGGCGCGCGGCACAGCAGGAAACCCGGATTGGGAACCAGGTCCTAAAGCCCGCCGGAGGGAGGGGGAAGACTCTGGGGACTCAGCGTCAGAAGAGTCTAGAAGAGGCGAGACCCCAGCGGACAGGCGGGCCCAGAGGAGAAGAGAGCAAAGGAAGAGGTGGAGCAAGGCTAGAGTCTTAAACTGGTGTCTGGGGGGAGGAGATTCAGACGGAGCTTCGGCGGTCTAGAGTTTGAGACGTAGAGCTGCGCGCCGCAGTTGTGAAAGCGGAACTGAGCTTCAATAAAGACTGTTTTATATAACAACGAACTGGCGTTGGTCCTTTGTGAGCTGGGACCAGGGGCAGCTCTGACACTATGTTTCTTTTTTTTGGAAATGTCTTAGTTTATTGAAGAATGAACTAATGTTGTTTTATGTAGGCTTCCTTTTTTCTTTTCTTTTTCTTTTCTTTCTAAGATTTAAATGTACTTACAAAAAGGCATATATTTATATCTCTTACTTCTTCCTTCCTTTCTGGAGTTTCTGCTTTTATTCTTTTATTTTTTTGCTCTCTCTACATAAGTCTTTTTTGTTTGTTTAAGTTTGTGAGTTTTGATTTATGTATATGTGCAATACAATACAATCAGAGCTGTTCCGCCTGGCCTTTGGTTTGGACTCAGTCTGACCCTTATGTTTCCCTCCCCTTATGGTTTTGATCTATGGGCTGCTTTTAAAACGGAACGGGTGCGAGTGCCTGCGGAATTTTAAGGGAGCGTCTTATATTCAGGTATTCTCCCCCCCCCGAATTTTAAAGGTGCAGCTTATATTCAGGTACAGCTTATATTCAGGCCAATACGGTAATAAATGACTAGGAAACAAATGTTTAACCACACAACTGGATTTTCTACCACCGCTTTGCTCCAGATGGAAGGCAGGGTGATGGCAGCAAAACTAAATCTTGGAAATAAAAAGAGGAGTAGAATCAGTCCCCCCCAGTTAAGATCTATTGGTACATGACAAATCTGCCCTAGGTGCATATTTTGCTGGTGAGCCAGTGTGGTGTAGTGGTTAAGAGCGGTGGACTCATAATATGGTGAACCGGGTTCATGTCTCCGCTCCTCCACATGCAGCTGCTGGGTGACCCTGGGCTAGTCACACTTCTCTGAAGTCTCTCAGCCTCACTCACCTCACAGAGTGTTTGTTGTGGGGGAGGAAGGGAAAGGAGATTGTTAGCGGCTTTGAGACTCCTTCGGGTAGTGATAAAGCGGGATAACAAATCCAAACTCTTCTTCTCCTCCTCCTCCTCCTCCTCCTCCTCCTCCTTACTACAGATATGGTAAGTGAAGTGTTAAGAACTGGTAGGCTGTTGCTCATTGTGGAATAATTTACTGCCAGTTACCACTAGAGGCCAGCTGATATTAAGTGCAATGAGACCACACATCTGGATCTCGAGTTGCTTTTACCCAGCACAATCAGAAACAGCCCAGGAAAGAGACAGAGCCCATATATAGCTCTCTCAGGAAAATCAATGCTAATTTGTGATTCTGGGTGTGTGTTTTTTTATCCCACTAACTGCAACTCTGAATGAAGATTTCTTTCTGCCCGATAGGAATCATAAGGAATATGTTATTTCCCCCCTATAGAAGGGGGGAACCTAATAACCTCAAGTAGTACTCTAGATCAAACAATAACTCAGTTTTGTGGGCCTGCCAGGTAAGGTAGCTAGGTGAAAAAGAGCCCAATTAAGTTACACCTGCCCAAACTGCTTCTTATTAAAAGTGCAGAAGCTCTCTTTCTGATGTGACCGCTCTGTTAGTAGATTGTGGAATAATTGTTTTATGCTGATTGATTTTAAACTTGGATATCACAATGCACTGAACCCTGCTCTCCCATGGTGATCCAGGAGTTCATTATTTACCTGGTTCCTCTTCTCTGCTCTGCCGTTTACTTATGCTCCTTATATCATGGAGTGATGGTAGTCTAAAATGACATTCTTTCCAGTTATACCAAACACAAGCCATGCTTTGGGAATCTGAGACCTCTTACTGCTCAGAAATTGGAGTGCACTTAAAAGTACTCTCCCACGTTGCAATACATTGCTCCTTCCTTTTCAATTTGCTGCAGGCAGACTATATTTACAAAGCTGTTTGATTGTGCAAAACTCTGGGGCACAGTTTTCCATCAGCGGTCCAGCTGTATCAAGAATGATTAAGTCTTGTCAGAACAAAGAAATCTCTTCAACTGTCCTGGGAGAAGATTTTCGAGGGGAGGAACTACTGGAGGACAAAAACACGAAGTTGTTGTGAATGGCCATTGCTTTTTCTGGCTGGATTTATGGACTGGAAAGAGAAAAGGCACAAAGAAGCAGAAAAAGTAGTTGGAGGCTTTATAACTAATATTTGAGACAAAGAAAATACATTGCTGTTATTATGCAGTTTTCTTTGAATCCTTTGCTGAAGTTTTAGCCTAAATTGATTGCTTTAAGGTAAGCCTTTTAATGTCGCTTTCTCTTTGCCTTTTGATGCTTTTTCTTGCCATTAATACCTGATGAAGCCTAGTTATTTGGGAGCAAAAAGGGAAAGAGGGGAGAATTGCTACTGAATGAATGCAAACGCACTTACTCAAAGTGCTTGGATATCAACTGATAAGTGATCTGGATATTTGAACCTATGTACCTAAACTCTGCCAGCTCAGCTTGACTCATTTGTGGATTAACATTGCAGTCCTATATGCTTGTTTGGGAGTAACTCTCCTTAAACTTGGCGAGTCTTAGTTTTGAGTAAATCTGCATAGGATTGGACTTGCCAACTATGTGAAATCCTCTGCAGAGTTTGATTGGTATGCCTGTGATTTGATTTATTTAGGTCAGTCTAAAATAAATGTCTTCCTGTTGCAGCAATATCCTGACCTAGAATTTTCTTTTACCCATAGAAATATTTTAACACAATTTTGTTGTTAAAGCACTTGAGCAGTAAAACCATGGGAAAGCTAGCTTTGAAACTACAAATGCTAAGAGTTTTACCATCCATGTGGAGGTATTAACGTTGCCATCCCAAATTAGTTTTATACAAAGCATTGCAAAGTTTTGACAGGTGTTCCTTATTAGGTTTGTTAGCAGCTTCACTTGATTTGGTAAAGCTGGTCGCTGGCTTGTTTATGAATTTGATTGAAATAATATTCTCCTGAGTCATATTTCCTACCTTTTCTTCCCTGCTGTCCTAAATGGAATCTGCAGGCAGATGAATAGTTGAAGTAGGCTGGTTGGACTCGCCACCTAAGAATGGGTTTGCCAGATCACGTACCCAAGATCGCCTCTGTCCCTTTAAATATTCTGACAGCTGGAGATTATGCAACCATTCTGCCCCTCACTGTGTTTCTCTCTCACTGCCTTCTGTTGGGTGAAGTCTACGTTTATTCCCACCCCCAACAGGATTTATATATTGCTTAATTAAAACTTCTAAGCAGTTTACATAAAATGCAATATATATGTGAATATGGCCAATAAAATCAGGTGTTAAAAATGAACCCACCTACTTTTCTTTCCAAAATAAAATCTCATTCAGGGCCATGGAACAACAGGATGGGAATCCCAACATACTTGCATTGACACATTTTGAGCAGGATCTTCACCTAGAGCACTGTTTCCCAAACTTGGGTCTCCAGCTGTTTTTGGACTACAACTCCCATCATCCCTGACCACTGGTCCTGCTATCTAGGGATGATGGGAGTTGTAGTAGTCGAACAACAACTGGAGACCTAAGTTTGGGGAACACTGACCTAGAGATTGAAACACTACATGGAAGAAGAATGTTAGAACTCAGATGCTCTCTCAAACCTATTAGAGTATTTGGTATCTGATGCTCAAACATCCCGTTGTGTTCATGGATGGGTGCGAAATAACTCGAGGTCAAAGGTAGCAGTAGGTCCAGGAATGCTTAAACATGATGAGCAGCAGAGTGGCTGTAGGAACATGTTTTATGGAGATCCTAACTCAACTTTGGCATGACACTAACTGGATTTTCCCTATGCACGCGTTGATAAAGTTTGATTTAACCTCTTACCTCTAACATCTGTTTGTCATTAAAGACATGAGGCAAAAACCAAGTGGGCCCAGCCAATCAGCCAAATGGCAAAATTCCTACCGGGTCCCTGCTCCAAAACAGACGACCCCTAGACAGGCATAGCAAGGCCATAAGAACAACCCTAAATATAGGGAGAGGAGGGCGGGTGATCCGCTGCACGTCGCAAGAAAGTGAAACTCTCCAGCGACGTGCAGCAGCCAATAGCCAACCCAACTGACCAAATTTCTGCCCCAGCAACAGAGGGGCAACCAATGGGGTGTTGTGGCCATCCAAACGGTCCCGCCCCACAACAAGGAGGCAGTTTCTGGTGATCTCACCACAATAAGTGCCCTCCATGATGGAGGACCCAACCTGTCAAACCTCCCCCCCCCCAATATCCAGTGTGATGTTTTCATCCCTGACCATTGTCCATGCTCCTTGGGGCTGATGGGAGTTGTAGTTCAAAATATCTGAAGAGCACCAAGTTGGGAGAGGCTAGTCTGGACTCTGCATGGTATCTACACATACCCAGCTAGGAAAATCAATATACGCACAGAACATTGTGCAAATAAGTGGGAGGGTGGGTTGTGTTGCAATTTATTCCTTTGCCCAGTGCTGCACTTTGCCTAGAGTGAATAACCTCTGACTGAACAGGCTTATTTTTCATTTTAAGCAGGCTTGAAAATGCAGGGACAACGCCACAGGAATAGAAGTGTGTATCAACAGACAATTGCACTTTTGTGGAAAAATATAATTCTGAAATGGAGGATGAGGATGCAAAGCTTTCAGGCAAGTAAAAATTGCTAATCGAGGGGAAATAAATGTTCAGCATTTCTTCTCCTGTTCTTTTTTAAAATTTAAAGTTGTGAAAATTAATTAAGCGTTTGAATACAAACAGCTAACTTGTGTGCTATATTGCCATTGCCATTGCCATTTTGTTTTACAGTGAAGTCAAGGGGAGAAGCCACTCGTAAAGTTGCAATGGGGAACTAGCCTTTTCAGTTACTGTGTTAATTGCAGAAAATTTATTTGATTTGTCAGTGCATATCATTCCAAGGATGTTCTAATAAACATGCAAGAAATAGTAGGATAAATTATAGTCCACTTATTTTTTTCTTTTATTATCATTTACCTATATACCTCTTTTTGGCCCAATGTCCCAACATATTATCAGCATCAGTATCAGCATATTAAGGATGGATGGCGGCTAACAGATTGAGGTTGAATCCTGACAAGACAGAAGTACTGTTTTGGGGGGACAGGAGGCGGGTGGGTGTGGAGGACTCCCTGGTCCTGAATGGGGTAACTGTGCCCCTGAAGGACCAGGTGCGCAGCCTGGGAGTCATTTTGGACTCACAGTTGTCCATCGAGGCACAGGTCAATTCTGTGTCCAGAGCTGCTGTTTATCAGCTCCATCTGGTACACAGCCTGAGATCCTATCTGCCCGCAGACTGTCTTGCCAGAGTGGTGCATGCTCTAGTTATCTCCTGCTTGGACTACTGCAATGCGCTCTACATGGGGCTACCTTTGAAGGTGACCTGGAAACTACAACTAATCCAGAATGCGACAGCTAGACTGGTGACTGGGAGCGGCTGCTGAGACCATATAACACCAGTCTTGAAAGACCTACATTGGCTCCCAGTACGTTTCCGAGCACAATTCAAAGTGTTGGTGCTGACCTTTAAAGCCCTAAACGGCCTTGGTCCAGTGTACCTGTAGAAGCTCTCCACCCCCATCGTTCTGCCCGGACGCTGAGGTCCAGCGCCGAGGGCCTTCTGGCGGTTCCTTCATTGCAAGAAGCAAAGCTACAGGGAACCAGGCAGAGGGCCTTCTTGGTAGTGGCACCCGCCCTGTCAAAGACATCCCACCAGATGTCAAAGAGAAAAATAGCTACCAGACTTTTAGAAGACATCTGAAGGCAGCTCTGTTTAGGGAAGCTTTTAATGTTTAACAGACCATCGTATTTTAATATTTTGTTGGAAACTGCCCAGAGTGGGTGTGGTATAAGTAATAAATTATTATTATTATTATTATTATTATTATTATTATTATTATTATTATTATACTGAATAACAGTCCAACAAAATATAATCAATCATAAAGACAGACAGACGCCTGTATGGCTATTTGCTGTAACTGGGTAAAAGTTCACCTATGGTAATTGAATGGATCCTATGGAATTGGGCCATAGCATATATCAGAGGTTTCCAGCCGTTTCGAGTCCACGGCTCCCTTGACCAACCATATTCTTTTTGAGGCTCCCGTGTGGGGAATTGCGCTCCGAGCCTCTGAAGCCCAGTTAGGTCACCCCTTGCCTGCAGCTCCTGCAGCCCCTCGCCCCTTTCCAAACACCCTCCTTTGTGGTGTGTTCCTTCAGCCTCCTCGCCTCTCCCCTCTCCTTGGGAGTCCTCCAGGCTGCAGCCACCGCTGCCCCTGGTCTCTGAGTTGCCCCGCCTGCCCCAAACAGAGCTGCCTGGCCAGCCCCAGAGCTGCCATTTGCCCTGGGGAGCTTGTAGCCAGGGCTGCTGCAACAAAGAGCCATGCAAGCCTTTGGGAGGCAAAGGCCCGAGAGGATATCAGAGGAGGGAGGGAAGGAAAGAGGGACAGAGGCCAATGTTGCTGGCGGCACCCGGAGCGTCGCATATGCTGTGCACCCGGGGGCGGGACCATGAGGGCGGGACAAACGTCCCGGGGGGGAGGGACAAGCATTCCTTTTTTTTTTTTATAAATTTTTTATTGCGTTTCTTTCCATAGCTTCGTACAATCCAAACAACACAAATGCATTTAATACAAGAAACAATTTTTCTTTTCTTTTTCAACAAAAAACCAAAAAAAAAAAAACCAAGCAAAAGAAAAACATATAAACCATTCCCTGTTTGGACTTCCCCACACCCTCCGGAACTGCGTTCTTTAAATTTAATAATGTCAGCAATTTGTTACCTTATTTCATACCTTATTGTAACTTTCAATTGTTATGCATCCAAATTCAATATATTGTATCTTAATTTCAATACTTTTAAAATAAACATAACATGCTCATTTCAAATTGTCTCCTTTTCTCTTTTATCACTTATTTTAGCATTTACTTAATCATATTTGCCAAAGCATAACATTTCTCAATCATGCACTAACTTAGGATTCATACAGCTTGTAATGTTTTTGCAAATAGTCTTTAAATTTTCTCCAGTCCCCCTCAATTGTTTCTTCATCCAAATCTCGGATTCTGCCGGTCAGTTCAGCTAATTCCATGTAGTCCATCAACTGCATCTGCCATTCCTCCAGCGTGGGTAAATCTTGTGTCTTCCAGTTCTTTGCGATGAGTATTCTTGCTGCTGTGCTAGCATACATAAACAAGGTTCTATCCTTCTTTGACATTTTCTGGTCCACCATACCCAGCAGGAAGGCCTCTGGTTTCTTAGGAAAGGTATACCTAAATACCTTTTTCAATTCGTTATGTATCATTTCCCAGAAGGCCTTCACTTTTGGGCAGGTCCACCAGAGATGGAAAAATGTCCCTTCTGCCTCCTTACATTTCCAGCATTTGTTGTCAGACAGGTGATATATTTTAGCTAGCTTGACTGGGGTCATGTACCACCGGTATATCATTTTCATAATGTTTTCCTTCAAGGCACTACATGCCGTGAATTTCATTCCGGTGTTCCATAACCTTTCCCAGTCTTCAAACATAATGTTGTGTCCAACATCCTGTGCCCATTTTATCATGGCAGATTTAACTACCTCATCCTGTGTATTCCATTTAAGCAGCAAGTTATACATTCTCGATAAAGTTTTGGTCTTTGGTTCTAGCAATTCTGTCTCTAGTTTCGATTTTTCCACCTGGAAACCCACCTTTTTATCCATTTTAAAAACCTCTTGAATTTGAGCATAATGTAACCAATCTCGCACCTTGTTTTTTAATTTGTCCAGGCTCTGCAACTTCCAATTGTCTCCAATTTTTTCGATTAATTCCCAATATTTCGGCCAATAGGCCTCCATATTGAGTCTTTTTCGAGCCTTGGCCTCCACCGGTGATAGCCACCTCGGTGTTTTGCTCTCTAATAAGTCTTTGTATTTCATCCAGACTGCAAAAATTGCTTTTCTGACAATGTGGTTTTTGAACAATTTATGAACTTTAGCCTTGTCATACCATAGATATGCATGCCAGCCAAAGGCATTATCAAAACCTTCCAGATCTAGGACATCAGTATTTTCCAGCAAAAACCAATCTTTCAGCCAGCAGAAGGCTGCAGCTTCATAGTACAACCTTAAGTCCGGCAGGGCAAACCCCCCTCTTTCTTTCGAATCAGTTAATATTTTAAACTTTATTCGGGGCTTTTTGCCCTGCCAGACAAACCTAGATATGTCCTTCTGCCACTTTCCAAAACATTCCACTCTGTCCACGATCTGCAAGGTTTGAAACAAGAACAGCATTTTCGGCAATACATTCATTTTTATAGCAGCGATTCTTCCCAACAAGGAAAGTTTCAATCTTGACCAAATTTCTAGATCTTTTTTAACTTCCAACCAGCATTTCTCATAATTATCTTTAAATAAATTCAAATTTTTGGAAGACAAATGAATCCCTAGATATTTCACTTTTTTGACCACATTTAATTCTGTTTCTCTCTGAAATCCCTCTGTTTCTGTAGGTGTCAAATTTTTAGTCAGAACCTTAGTTTTTTGTTTGTTCAGTTTAAACCCCGCCACTCGACCAAACTCAGATATAAGTTCGAGAACTCTTTTTGTACTAGGTTCTGGCTCCTGCAGTGTCAAAACTAAATCATCTGCAAAAGCTTTCAGTTTGTATTGTTTCACTCCGACCTCGGGACAAGCATTCCTAGGGGGGCGCCGTGGCCAGTGTCCCACCCCATTAGGGGTGGAGCAAGCTGCACATGGCGGGCTGCTTCCTGGGCAGGGTGGGGTGGAGAAGGAGCCACGCCGCTTTGCCAGCAGCCTTCCTCCCTTCCCTCTTACTTTTTTCTTTTTTGAATTTGTTAAATTCATTTTTCTTTCTCATTCATTACACACATCTCACATTCATAACATTTACTATGCAATCCTTCCTCCCTCCCCTCCTAGGCTCCCCCCACCTTCCGCTTCTGGTTTGTTTCTCCATTCTCCCACTTTGCTGCCTCTTAAAAGAAAAAGCTACTAATAACATATTTATACAATAACTTCAAACCTAAAAATAACAATAAATACATCATATTTACGCGGGTGGCCACAGAGCCTAGGGCTTTCCAATCAGAAGGTCGGTGGTTCGAATCCCCGCGAAGGGGTGAGCTCCCATTGCTCGGTCCCAGCTCCTGCCAACCTAGCAGTTCGAAGGCACACCAGTGCAAGTAGATAAATAGGTACTGCTCCAGCAGGAAGGTAAATGGCGTTTCCGTGCACTGCTTCTGGTTCTCCAGAAGCAGCTTAGTCATGCTGGCCACATGTACGCCGGCTCCCTCGGCCAATAAAGCGGGATGAGCGCTGCAACACCAGAGTTGGCCACGACTGGACCTAATGGTCAGGGGTCCCTTTACCCTTACTTAATTCTTAACTTAAAGATAGCTGCAGTACTTCTCCCTTTCATCCTCTTCTCCTGTTAGTTTTAATTTGCTATTACAGTGGTACCTCAGGTTAAGAACTTAATTCGTTCTGGAAGTCCATTCTTAACCTGAAGCTGTTCTTAACCTGAGGTACCACTTTAGCTAATGGGGCCTCCTGCTGCTGCCGTGCCGCCACCGCAAGATTTCTGTTCTCATCCTGAAGGAAAGTTCTTAACCCGAGGTACTATTTCTGGGTTAGTGGAGTCTGTAACCTGAAGTGTCTGTAACCTGAAGCGTCTGTAACCCGAGGTACCACTGTAATGATAAAGCTCTGTTCAGTATAGCATTGCCACTGTGATAAGCACTGTCAATATATTCTTACATTTAAAAGACATGGTTCTAATTGTGCTTTTGCAAAAAAAAAAAAAAAAAGATGGGGGGGGGAGAGGTATTTCTCTCCTTAAACTATCCTAGCTGGAACAGCAAAACGTTGGCAGAATTTTTAAGGGGTTACATAAGTGTAGTAAGTTGATTTTGGAATACACCACCTTGGCTCCAATTCAAGTCAGGCTTGTATTTCACACAAACAAAGGCCTTTCCAAAAAGCAGACAAGTTCAATGGTATGCAAATACTGCAAATACTACTTATATAAAATAGATTTTTAAAAAGCTTTTTCAAAAAAAACAAACAAACAGGCAACACAACAAAGGATTAGGAAAAACAACTATGAGTAATTCAAATAAATATCAGAGCATCATTGTGCCTTGAAAACTCTTTCACCCAGATCCTTACGGAAGTCAGTACAAAAAAAAGAGATACCTTATAAGTCATTAAAAGGTCTGCCAACAGAAAACAAATCTTTTCTTTGATGGATTCTGAATGTAATCCCAATAAATTCTACACATTTAAAATGCAGTTCCAGGTACAAAGGACAAAATAAAATGTAGTGTGGAAGATCTTCTATCCACATATTCCCCCAAATACATCTATGCTACGCCAGGAGAATCTGATAATCTTGGCCGTCAGTCATAGCCAATGAAAACATCTGGAAACTGAGAGCTGTAAAGGCTTGCTTGAGTCTAGGAAAACTAGGATTAACCAAACAGGAAGATCTGTAATGGTCATTTTAAAACAGTCAAAACCACACAGCTATACTTCCCCTTTACATCTGCAGGTGAGGCAGTAGAAGTGCTGGACTAGTGCCTTGCTTTGGTAATAGACTGGATTACTGAGGCTCAATCCAGAAAAGACTGAGGCACTGTTAGTGGGTGGTTCCTTAGATTAGATGAATGGGAGGCTGCCTGCTCTTGATGGAACTATACATCCTCTGAAGGAGCAGGTACACAGCTTGAGGATCCACTGCTGTCACCTGAGGCTCAGGCGGTCTTGGTGGCATGGGGTGCCTTCCATCAGCTTCGGCTGGTGGCCCATCTGGACCAGGATAGCCTAACTTCTGTTTTCTCTGCTCTAGGTTAGATTACTGCAATATGTTATACCTGGGGCTGCTTCTGAAGTTGGTTCCGAAACTTCAGCTGGTGCAGAATTCAGTGGCTCACTGGGGCAAGAAGGTTTCAGCATATAAAGCCATTCCTGGCCCAACTGCTCTGGCTGCCAATTAGTTTCTGGGCCCAAATTCAAAGTGCTGGTTTTGACCTATAAAAGCTTTATATGGCTCAAGACCGCAATACCTCAAGCACTGCCTCTGCCCATATGAACTGACCCGGACCCTGTGATCATCATTTGAGGCCTGTCTTTGTGTGTCTCAAGAGGTCCGGAGGGCGGCAGTATGAGAACGAACCCTTTCTGCAGTGGTTGCCCACTTGTAGAAGGCTCTCCCCAGGTATGCTTACCTGAGGAGCTGACATGGAGCCCAGAAGATCACAATTTTCCCTAGCAATGCAAGGGAGGTATTGGAGGCCCATAACGCTTTCTCTGGAACAAAGGTGAAGGACCCCGGAATACAATGCCCATGTTCCACATGTTTTCTGTGCAGACATTTGCCCATGCTTTTCTGAGTAGAAAAAGCTTCAGCTCCATTTTTCTAGCTCTTCAAGGAGTGACCCCATCTTTATGGGCAAATCCAATCTATTTGTTGGGGTTATAGATATGTGCGTGTTCGTGCACATGTGTACAATAATGCTTGTGTTCAACAGGGGCATGGGGCATTCCCTCATCCCCTTTCCACTATATATGGAAATGGGGATGCAGGTGGTGCTTTGGTCTAAACCACTGAGCCTCTTGGGTTTGCTGATCGGAAGGTCGGTGGTTCGAATCCCCGCGATGGGGTGAGCTCCCGTTGCTCTGTCCCTGCTCCTGCGAACCTAGCAGTTCAAAAGCATACTAGTTTGAAGGGGAGTGAAAGGCGGGATATCAAATCCAAACTCTTCTTCTAGTGCAAGTAGATAAACAGGTACTGCTGTGGCGGGAAGGTGAACGGCGTTTCCATGCACTGCTCTGGTTTTGCCAGTAGCGGTTTAGTCATGCAGGCCACATGACCCGGAAAACTGTCTGTGGACAAACGCCGGCTCCCTCGGCCTGAAAGCGAGATCAGCGCTGCAACCCCATAGCCGCGTTTCACTGGACTTAACCATCCAGGGGTCCTTTACCTTTACCTTAAACTTTATATATGGAACCATAGGAACCCATAGGAACAAAAACATTCTCATAGCTTAAAACATCCAATGTATTGTTCTAGTCAGTGACTTGTTTGTTATTTCTAGGAGTGGTTCTCGGTCTTGGTTCTCCTCTTCACATTTTACCTAACAACAACATGGATATTCTCTGAGCCAGCTCATGAAATACCTCAGGCATTCCTTGGTCAACTAGATGATCCTTCCTTCAATTATACAGAACTTAGAATCCTGTATACTCCAAGAACAAAGATGGCAATGGAAATCATGGAAAAAGTAAAAACCACCTCTGTCATGAAAGGTATATACTATCTATTAAAACATTTTGGTACGTTATTTCTTTAGTAAGGCTTAAGTTGAAAATCGATGAGCTCTGGAGGCTGTTTTCTATGACAGGAGTGTGATCTAGATAGGCAAATAATGAGTGTCTTTGTCCATGTGCAGAGTACCCTTTTGTCCCCCCAGAGTGAATAAAGCAGAGGGTTCCCCTGTCAAACAGCCCTTTTCAGGCAGGATTGAGACCTCTTCTGAGGAATCAAGCCATCTGTCAACAGCAGAACAGTGTTTCTTCAACTGGGGACCTGGGACCACCAGAGAACCTCAGTGTTTTGGTCTGCCCTGGCTGCACCTTTTGGGGGGGGGAGTGGGTAACATTGGCAGCTTCCCACAGGCATGCAAGAGGGAGGTGGTTAGGGAGTGAGATTGCAGCATGCAAAGTTGTCTGTGGTTTCCTTATCCTAAGCCAGGCATAGGCAAATTCGGCCCTCCAGATGTTTTGGGACTACAATTCCCATTATTCCTGACCACTGGTCCTGTTAGCTAGGGATCATGGGAGTTGTAGTCCCAAAACATTTGGAGCGCCGAGTTTGTCCTAAGCTCTATAATCTTGTGAGATGCCCATGTCATAATGATACACTTGAATTGCTTGCAGCCTCTACACAAGAAGCCATTTCTCTCACTCAGTCTCTCTGTATGGAGGCTCATATAGTAACTGCAATTTTTTTGTACTAAAGGTATAAGAGTAGAACCGGTAGAAGATGAAAATGCAATGGAAGCCGCGCAAAAGAATGAATATGATGATGATGACTATGAATATGTTGGAGTTATTTTTGAGGACGACACTTCTTATCGACTCAGATTTTCTTTTCCTAGAGTGGTTTCTCCAAGCGCTAATGTTGAAGAAATCGGTAAATCCAATATGCCTTTGTATTTACATTCCATTTCTTAGATATTCATAGGTGTACTGTGCAAGCGGGTGCAGATCTGGACCCACATATTAAGTTAATAAAGATGAGTAAGCTTTTAATGTAGAATGGACAGCTGCATATCTATCCTATACATAGACCTAAAGGTACAGGTAAAGGGACCCATGACCATTAGGTCCAGTTGCGGACGACTCTGGGGTTGCGGCGCTCATCTCGCTTTACTGGCCGATTACTGTTATACAGCTTCTAGGTCATGTGGCCAGCATGACTAAGCCACTTCTGGCGAACCAGAGCAGCGCACGAAAACGCCGTTTACCTTCCCAACGGAGCAGTACTTATTTAACTACTTGCACTTTGACGTGCTTTCGAAGTGCTAAGTTGGCAGGAGCAGGGACCGAGCAATGGAAGCTCACCCCGTCGTGGGGATTCGAACCACCAACCTTCTGATCGGCAAGTCCTAGGCTCTGTGGTTTAACCCACAGTGCCACCCGCATCCCTTATAGACTTATAAATAATTAAATACTTCTGCTCCTTTTTCTTCATGTAGGAAGATATTTAAAGTAGTCATGCACACATATTCATCTACCTGCTCCTCTCCTCTGTCCCTGCTCTGAGCATGCATAACTTTTAGGCCAGAACCCTGTGGAATAGGATGTGATAAAGCATTTCTAACGTATATGTCCTACTTCAGAAATGAGACCAGATAATTCAGAACGTCAAAATCCAAAGAAAATTTCAGATTAGGAGACTTTTGGAAAGCTTTTAAATTACGTTCCTTCAGACCTTTCATAGGATTTACTGAACCAAGAATCTTTTAGAACATTTGATATTCCCTTCTGATTAAATCTGGTTTAATTACATTTTCAATGCTTCCCTGACTGTAGGGAACCTAATAGAATGTGCATATAACACACTGTCCACGTCTTCTTCTTGCTTGTAGATTTCTGTTACAACTATACATCAGACTATTGTAAAAATCCAAAATACTGGTTTCATGGATTTCTATCACTGCAGTCCAGCATTGACAGTGCTCTTATTGAAGTAAGTAGTGTTATTTTATTATTTGAGGCATTACACTGCTGTATCTTATTAGTCTCCCTATCAAGATATATATTAAATGTAATATAAAAATGTGAAAGTCTGACAACAAAGTTAACCCAAGCCCAGCCTTAAGTCTGAGTTGCTTCCTTGACAATACAACAGCTCCAGGCCCCAGCTTTCTGTATATATGGGGAAATAGACCCTCTGCAACACAACTACACACTTGAAGAAACACATCTGGACTGTGCATTAATAAATGAGTAGCAACTGTACACTTGAGTACCATTAAAAACTGTTTACTTTCCCTCTTGCATATTCACTACCAGGAAGGTGTCCTGATCGGGCCAGGTGAGTCTCAATTTTCAGGGAAAGGGTGGAGTAACCCCATCCAGAACCAGGTCGAAAGGACACTGGGATCAGAAACACAAGGGAAATCTCAATCCAGAAACAAGCAGTAGTTCATAACAAGGTAGGGCAGATTAAGTGAAACACGCAGTTCGCAAGCATCTGGGAAATGAAAGACACAAATTGTTTTAGCAGCTCCCAGACCTCAGCTGAGTCAGTGATGGGGAATCTGTGGTCCACTGATTGTTGTTAGCTTCCAGCTTGTATCAGCCCCGCATGGCTAACGATGAGGGAAGACAGAAGCTGGAATGCAGCAACATCTCAACGGTCATAGGTCCTCCATCCCTGAGGCTTATATAGTCTAGTCCAGAGGGTCCCAAACTTATTTGGCCTACTGCTCCCTAGAAATCTACCTTCTTTAAGCGAACAAACAGAAAGATGCAGTGATAAATTTGCCTTCTTTTATGTATCTATATTTCTACCTACGTCCTACAACACAGTAAAGAAAGATGCTGTTGTAAATAAGACACCTTGAAGCTTGACGTTATAAGTAGGCAAGCAAGCAAGCTGCGATCCACTTCCTAAGCCTGGGTGAAGCTGAAAAGGGTTCACCGAAGCCTGGGAAAACCCCTTGCCTCCAGCACAATCGCCGGATCCAGGGGAGGCATTGTTGCCATCCCACGACTGTGCCCAACCTGGCGATAAGCGTCATTGCATAACAGATGAAACATGTATGAATGGTTTTTGAGAATTTCCTCCTCTTCTTTCTTTATGCTTCCACTGCTCCCTTATTTTTATTCAATACCCCCCCAATTGCACCAGAGGCTTCTACTGCCCCCCTGGATCGTCCCAGTGCCCTCCAGGGGGTGGTATGTGTTATGTACTGAAGTTCTCACCCTGGCCCAGCAAGGGGATACTGTAGATAGTTATGCAAATAAGGGATCAAAAGTGACGTTCAGTGATTGGATAGTTTTAGAAAATTGTTACAGTTACATTGTACTGGAGCTCTATATAAGCAGGCTGACTGAACCCTTCAGTTCAGTTCTGTCCTGGCCTGTGAATAAACAAGAGCTGTTTGAAGAATCGCTGCGTCGTCTGATATGTTCACCCTCAACCTAACAGTATTGCCCACTTTGGGAAACACTGGTTTAGTCTGACAAACTTCACCCAGGCCCAGCTGCAAGCGCTCAGCCTGATCTCTAGGAGCTTTTTACTGTCAACAAGTCCCTTATAGTTTTATTAAGCTGGGCTCTCTGTCACAAGGCCTTTTGCTTTGTGACTGCCCAAGCCTAGATTTCCTTGCATCTGTGTTTTCTGGGGCTGGGAGGCAATTCAACTTCTGCTTCTAAACAAAGTCCTAAATATATACCTTCTGTATACCTGAAGGAGCATCTCCATCTCCATCATTTAACCCGGACACTGAGATCCAGCTCCGAGGGCCTTCTGGAAGTTCCCTCATTACAGAGGGCCTTCTTGGTAGTACTGTGGTTTCATAATTTGTTGGAAGCCGCCCAGAGTGGCGACATGTGAAGACCTTTTTGCCATTGAGCTATGTCTGCAAAACGGGGATAAGCAACAGGTTCATGTGGCAATGAGAATTGTGAAATACTCCAGAACTGTTATGGAATTGTTCAACGACTTTTTCCTAACACTGTTGCCTTCTTAATTTTAATTTTTAGCTGATCACCAATCATTCTGTTTGGGATGAAATGAAATCTATTGGTGGCATCCGTATGAGATCGTCTTCTCTTACTCCTTCAGATAGCTTAGCACACAACCTGACCTTTCTGGCTACAGTCTTGTGCTTCTCTCCATTTTTGTACTTCTTGTCACAAAATGTTTCAGGAGAAAAACGGAAATTGAAGGAGATGATGAAGACAATGGGGCTACGAGACACAGCATTCTGGTGAGCTATGGGATTGGCTTCCTATGAGAAAAAGAATAAAAGAATGATACGAGGCCCCTAGATCTGAGTTTTTGTATTTTAGACTATAGTTCCTTAATCATAATAGAGATTGGACTGGAAATGTTACCACCTTGGGCACTCTTAGGTCATTAGACAACACTGAACATGGAGGTGCTGCTTCAAATGGGAACCTGAGTTATTTTCCCTCAGCATAATCTTCTGGTACTCCTACCTTGGCTGTGTTGCCATTGGGTTGTTTATTTCCCCTTTCTTGCTCTACATCATCAGCTGCCATTAGCAAGGGTGAAGAGCATGGTTCCATCTGCCTAAACATTTGATCCCTTCCAGGAGGAAAAAAAACTCCCTCAGTAAGAGAATGGCAAATAAGATTTTGTGAATACAGTGGTACCTCAGGTTGCATACGCTTCAAGTTACATACGCTTCAGGTTACAGACTCTGCTAACCCAGAAATAGTGCTTCAGGTTAAGAACTTTGCTTCAGGATGAGAACAGAAATCGTGCTCTGGTGGCGCAGCGCCAGCAGGAGGCCCCATTAGCTAAAGTGGTGCTTCAGGTTAAGAACAGTTTCAGGTTAAGAATGGACCTCCAGAACGAATTAAGTACGTAATCAGAGGTACCACTGTACATAGAATCAGCAAGACTTAAAGCAGTGGTAAGAGGCCAATCAGACCAAAAACTGAGGAGTGGACTTGCATGAAGGAATACATCAAAAAACATTGTTCTGGTATTAATATATCAATATGCAATGAATGAAACTTATAGAGTAAAAAATTAAGAAGAAATGGGTATAAGATGAGATAGTCAAAAATAATATTGATAACACAGCGAAAAGAAGAAAAGAAATAAAGGAAGCCACACAGAGGTGGAGGGAAGTCAAGATTTATGTTTGCATGTTTAGTTTGTTTGTTTGTTTTCTTTTTTGTAATCTAAGTTGAGAGGTGTATGTATGTAGCCTTTATCCCAATCACGTGCCGGAGTTCAAGTTGTCAAGAAGACTAACAGGATTTTTCCATCATAGGCTATCCTGGGGTCTGCTGTATGCTGTGTACATTGCGATTTTGTCCTGTCTGTTGGCATTTCCCTTGATGATTTCCTATTTGACTGCAAGCACCTTTCCTGCAGTATTCCTTCTGCTCTTCCTTTATGGCATATCATGTGTGAGTATGTGAATTTTATTCTATAAAGTACTTAATTCGGGGGTGTGTGTGGCAGCAGTCAGGCCCGTGCAGGTGGTGGGCAGCTGAGTACTTTGCCCCAGGCCTTGGAGGGCTAAGCTGGCCAGGGGCTCCCTGCCAGGACCCTGCCAGACTTACGTTGTCACGCCAAGAACATCTTTATAGGGGAAACAAGACTCTGGCCCCATGCTTCAGACACAGGCCTGGCTGCAGTTCAGCCAGCAGAATGCTAGCTGTCACATTCCAAATACAGTGGTACCTCGGGTTACAAACACCTCGGGTTAAAAACACTTTGGGTTACAGACTCCGCTAACCCGGAAGTAGTACCTCGGGTTTAAAACTTTACCTCAGGATGAGAACAGAAATCGCATGCCGGTAGTGCATCCGCAGTGGGAGGCCCCATTAGCTAAAGTGGTACCTCAGGTTAAGAATGGTTTCAGGTTAAGAACAGACCTCCAGAACGAATCAAGTTCATAACCAGAGATACCACTGTAACATTTTCTCCTACATTTTGATTGTGGTTTGTCCTCTGAGTAAGGATGCCCTCTGTACAGAGTTGGAAAGAAACATAGGGTAAGCCAACTGTGCCTTTTCCCAGATTTTATCTTTTTTAAACAATACCACCACCACCACCAAACATCCTTCTGAGGATTGTTGGAAGGAATTCGGAGATGCTATGGGGCAAAGAAATCATTTAGTCCTCTTCTTGAGACACTATGCCAACAATGGCTCAGGATAAGTAAGGTTTAAATATTCCCTTTTGGGGAAATGGTCCTGTGTTTGAAGAAGGCAGTCGGTGAAGAACTTGCCCTGCTTGCTCTCTGTTTGTATCTCTTAACATTATTTTAAAATTTAAAATAAAATAAAAAATATGGACAGGTTTCAAGTGACATCCAACATTGCATGAGTAGACATCTGCCTGTGTAATGGGACTTCCTCTCCTCCACCCTGTAGCCCTTTGTGCACAACCTCCCCATGTAACAGATTGTGGAGGTTACTGGCAAATGGGATCAGTCATGATTAACCTAATGAGCATATATGTAAAATTAATATGCCCCCACCAGACACGTATCAGTTACACTTGTTTACATTGAATTGCATTTGCCATTTGACCACCAATTTACCGTATTTTTCGCTCCATAAGACACACTTTTCCCCTCCTAAAAAGTACAGTGGTGCCCCGCAAGACGAATGCCTCGCAAGACGAAAAACTCGCTAGACGAAAGGGTTTTCCGTTTTTTGAGTCGTTCCACAAGATGAATTTCCCTATGGGCTTGCTTTGCAAGACGAAATGTCATGCGAGTTCTTGCGAGTTTGTTTCCTTTTTCTTAAAGCCGCTAAGCCGCTAATAGCCGCTAAGCTGCTAATAGCCGTGCTTCGCAAGACAAAAAAACTGCAAGACGAAGAGACTCGCGGAACGGATTAATTTCGTCTTGCGAGGCACCACTGTAAGGGGAAATGTGTGTGCGTCTTATGGAGCGAATACAGGCTGCGCAGCTATCCCAGAAGCCAGAACAGCAAGAGGGAGAGCTGCTCTTGTTGTGCTGCCTTCCCAGCGAAGCAGGATGAGGGACGGAAGGGAGCCTTACGGGCGGGCGGACCAGCGGCTCCTTAGCCTGATCCTCCCTCCTCCTTCCTCTTCCTCTTCCTCTTGTTTTCCCCAGCTGCCTTGGGCTTCTCTTGAGCCTTCCTGAGAGCCCGGCTGCCCCCTAAGCTGGCTGCCTGGCTCTATTCCTCGCAAGCCCCTTGATGTGCTGGAAGCAGCAGCAGCAGCTGCAGCATCGGCAGCCCCTGGCAAGGCTCAGGAGCGCTCAAATGCATAGCACAAGGAGGGGAGAGGCCTCAGATGCAGAATATATTTTTTTCTTGTTTCCCTCCTCTAAAAACTAGGTGCGTCTTATGGTTGGGTGCGTCTTATAGAGCGAAAAATACTGGTACTTAAGTCTGTTGATTTTAGTGGGTCTGCTCAAAACACGTCTTACTTCGATAGCAATCCAATCTCTTTAAATTACAGTGGTAACTCGGGTTACATACGCTTCAGGTTACAGACTCCGCTAACCCAGAAATAGTGCTTCAGGTTAAGAACTTTGCTTCAGGATGAGAACAGAAATTGTCCTCCGGCGGCACGGCAGCAGCAGGAGGCCCCATTAGCTAAAGTGGTGCTTCAGGTTAAGAACAGTTTCCGGTTAAGAACGGAACTCCGGAACGAATTAAGTACTTAACCCGAGGTAGCACTATAGTATCGAACTCAATTCCTGCTAACTGGTTGTTTCCTCTTTTTCAGATATGCTTCTGCTTCATGGTCAGTTCTCTCCTAAAGAAGCCTAAGACCACTTCATTTGTTGTCTTCTTCTTGATGTTTACTCTTGGAGCCATCAGCATTGTTCTGTTGATCAATTTAGTTCCTGCAGCTTTGAAATGGACTTTGAGTGTGTTCTGCCCCTTCGCCTTTGGTGTTGAACTGTCAAAGGTAGGGCGCTGTGCTTTATTTGGAATGGAAAACAACATTCTACACCCCCCCAACCTTGGTGAAGCTGATTTTCAGGCATGTTTTCAGTGGCGAGCAGAGGTGCCGAGTTGTGCCCAAGATTGTGGGGCCTGTTGCGCATGGGACGAACACTGGGTTGGGAGGAGGCTGACCATGGAGGCAGGGGGCCAGCTCTGTCCTTTCAAAAACAGGAAAGTGAAACCCTGTCAGTTCTCCCCACCCTGCCCTACCATGCTGGCCTGCAGTCCCTTATTTCTTTTCCTGCTCTCTGTGTGCCAACATTCACAGCAGAGCATCTGTTTCTTTGCCCCTGTACCTGATGCAACAAATGCCACAGCACAGCCTAATCCTTCCTGACGACTCTCTTCAGCAGGGTAATGGTAGAAACCATGCCCCCCCCCTTTCCCAGCAAAGGCGTAGCTGTCGGCTGCCCCTTGCCTCAGCCCCGGGGCTTGCGGCTTCCTCTCCCTCAGCCTGGGGCTGAGGCGGAGGGTGGAACAGGGGGCAAAACTGGGTGGCTCAGCCTGCCTAGTGACACCTCCTGGAGGAGGCCAGTAGTGGGAGGAGGCCTAGCACGGGGGGGGGGGGCTCAGCCCCATCCCAACAGACTTGGGAAGGGGTCTGAAGGAACCTCAGCCCTATAGAGTTGGCGCCTGTGGTGGAGAAAGATCCCAACCATCATGGTAGCACGGGCATTTTCCAGGGCTGGCCCTGCCATGCAGTGGCAGAGCTTCATGCTCCAGCACCGGGGGGTGGAGAGCTGGTGGGGGCAGAGCTGGCACGCGTCCCAGGGGGCACGGCATGCCACCTGCAGGGGGGCAGCCACGATGGCACCCTACCAGGATTGCGCTGCCAGGGGCGGTGCGCTCCCCCAGCACTCCTCTTCCTCCACCAGTGCTGCCATGCACAGTGTAAAGCAGGGGAGGACATTGCTGTGTGTGCCACATGACATGCCCTGTGCCTCCGAAACTAACCTGCTGCCCACAGGTGCAGTGGTGTTGTCCCATCACCAGTACTGAAGTAAGGTCCAGCTTCTGGTCCAGATGGCTTCTGCACATGGAGAGCTGAGGGGAGAGCGCCCATTTACCCTTTCCTTTATGCAGGAAAGTGTGTTGGGCAATCCCTGCCCTTTCCATTCGCCTCTCTTAAGGTATTCTGAGAGTGAATGTACAGAAATCTGTATACAGTGAACGCTCAGGTTGCGAACGTGATCCATGCAGGATGCATGTTCGCAATCCGCAGCGTTCACAACCCACGCGGGTTGCGATTCAGTGCTTCTGCGCATGCGCAAAGTGTGATTTAGTGCTTCGGCGCATGCACGACCGCTGAAACCCGGAAGTAACCTGTTCCAGTACTTCTGGGTTTCGCAACCTGAAAAAACAAAACCTGAAGCATCTGTAACCCGAGGTATGACTGTACTGATACAACAGGTGCTCCTCTGTATTCTATTCTATTTTACTTAACTGTGGTCCATGCTTCGCTTACGTGGGGCTAGCTTTTAAACAACAGGCAGGCAGCGAGGGGCTAATTCCGTTTCAAACTTTTCTTCCTCCAGTTTTGACCCACGGGGACTTAGACGTTGTTCTTTCCCCCTACAGATTCTTCATGTTCAAAAATATGGAGGAAACTTCACCTTGTCTAGCCTAATGCATGAACCATGCACATATATCCTGGTTTTTGACGGTACTTTATATATGTTGCTGGCCCTCTATTTTGACAAGGTCATACCCGGTAAGCATACGACAAGCATGCTAGCTGCATAATTGCTGCTTTAAAACAGCTGCATCAGTTGCATTTGTTTCTGGGCCCAGTTGAAGATGTTTCACACCACTAGTGTTTAAAACCCTAAGCAAATATCTGAAAGGCTTGCCTCCCTCCCCACAGAAACCTCTCATCTGTTGACTTTAGTACAGTGGTGCCTCGCAAGACGGAAATAATCCGTTCCGCGAGTCTCTTCGTCTAGCGGTTTTTTTCGTCTTGCGAAGCAACCCTATTAGCGGCTTAGCGGATTAGCGCTATTAGCGGTTTAGCGGCTTAGCGGCTATTAAAGGATTAGCGGCTTAGCGGCTAAAAGGCTATTAGCGGCTTAGCGGCTTAGAAAAAGGGGGGGAGCGGGGAAAAAATCGCAAGACTCGCCAAGCCGTTTTCATCTTGCAAAGCAAGCCCATAGGGAAATTCGTCTTGCAAAGCAACTCAAAAATGGAAAACCCTTTCGTCTAGCGGGTTTTTTCGTCTTGCGAGGCATTCGTCTTGCAGGGCACCACTGTAGTGGTTTATGTTCTTGGTAGGGACACGGGTGGCGCTGTGGGTTAAACCACAGTGCCTAGGACTTGCCGATCAAAAGGTCAGCAGTTCGAATCCCCATGATGGGGTGAGCTCCCATTGCTCGGTCCCAGCTCCTGCCAACCTAGCAGTTCGAAAGCACATCAAAGTGCAACACCAGCTCCCTCGGTTTGTAAAGCGGGAAGAGTGCCGCAACCCCAGAGTCTGTCACGACTGGACCTAATGGTCAGGGGTCCCTTTACCTTTATGTTCTTGGTAAGGACATAAAAGAGCCAAAGAGCCAACAAGCCCAGGATCCTGTTCTCACAGTAACCAACAAGATACCTGTGGGAAGTCCGCAGAAAACTTGCAAGCATTCAGTGGAGAAAATGGAAAAACATGCAGTGGAAGCTGTTTGACTTCTGAGGCGTGTTTGAAAACGGAAGCATTTACTTCTGGGTTTTTGGCGTTCGGGTCCCAAAATGTTCAGCTTCCAAGACGCTCGAAAACCGAGGTACAACTGTACTTTTCATTGCTCTCATAAGTTTTTTTGAGGAGAGGGGCATTCCCTGTGGCAGCCCCCAAGCTGTGGACTTCTCTCTCCCAGATGGCACTTTCATTGTATGGTTTCTTTATTAAATGTTATTAAGTTCCATAGAGAAAATACGAAAGTTAATATCTTTTTCCTTTAAAAAAACAACAACCACCAAAGCAAACCAAGGCTTTTATCTAAATACAATAAAAACACAAAAATGGGAGGGGCAAGGGAGAGAGCTAGAGAAAGAAAATGAAAGAAATAAAAAGAGAAGGAAAGAGATTAAAAGAGAAAGAGAGAAAAATAAGGTTCAGAAAATAAAGGACTTCCAATTGTTCATCTGTCCACTATATATAAAAACAAGTCACTTCATCCAATCCAATATAACACCAAACAAAACCGTTTTTTATAAGCAAACATTATCTTCAATCCTCAAATTCAGATATCAGTATTTTATTTTATTTTTCATGCAAAAAGTCCATGAGGGAGTTCCAGTCTTTAACAAATGTTCACAATGCATTAAACAAGGCCAATTTCTCCATCTCTGCTAAGTCTGTTAGTTTTAACAGCTGTTCTTCTGTTGTTGGTAATAGTGGGCCCTTCCATCTTTGTGCATATAAAAGACTTGCAGCCACAATCACAATATTGTAGCAAAGTTCCATAGTCTTTTTCTAACTGTATATCCATAAGTCCCAGTAAGAAGAGTTTCTGACATACTGCAGGTGTACCTCCTGGCCTTTGAGATTTGAGATGTAGAATCATAGAATCATAGAGTTGGAATAGACCACAAGGGCCATCGAGTCCAACCCCCTGCCAAGCAGGAAACACCATCAGAGCACTCCTGACATATGGTTGTCAAGCCCTCTGCTTAAAGACCTCCAAAGAAGGAGACTCCACCACACTCCTTGGCAGCAAATTCCACTGTCAAACAGCTCTTACTGTCAGGAAGTTCTTCCTAATGTTTAGGTGGAATCTTCTTTCTTGTAGTTTGGATCCATTGCTCCGTGTCAGCTTCTCTGGAGCAGCAGAAAACAACCTTTCTCCCTCCTCTATATGACATCCTTTTATATATTTGAACATGGCTATCATATCACCCCTTAACCTCCTCTTCTCCAGGCTAAACATGCCCAGCTCCCTTAGCCGTTCCTCATAAGGCATCGTTTCCAGGCCTTTGACCATTTTGCTTGCCCTCCTCTGGACACATTCCAGTTTGTCAGTGTCCTTCTTGAACTGTGGTGCCCAGAACTGGACACAGTACTCCAGGTGAGGTCTGACCAGAGCAGAATACAGTGGCACTATTACTTCCCTTGATCTAGATGCTATACTCCTATTGATGCAGCCCAGAATTGCATTGGCTTTTTTAGCTGCCACGTCACACTGTTGGCTCATGTCAAGTTTGTGGTCAACCAAGACTCTAGATCCTTTTCA